CAGTTCTTAGTTGCCCAATGTAGACTGAGCATGCCTCCTCTACAGTAGCACTGTGTGCTCTTAACCTCTGAGCCATTGCCCCGGTTCAAGTGGTTGCATTAAAAAAAAACCCAAAAACCAAAAACCAAAACTTTGTTCAAGTAGTGTTGGGTTTTATTCTGTTCATTAGTAAAGTTATTCATGATTCAGTTTCGTCTATCTGACACTTGTTTCTAAACTTTGTTGGGATGAGTCCAAAGTTGCTTTTAATCCAGGGAACCACTGACCCTCTCGGTATAGATAGACCTTTTTGAGGTCTCTATTGAATCCGTGTATGATCAAAAATGACTGTTCAGCTCATTGCTCAGACTTGACTTGTGTGTCCAGTCCTAGTGAGACCTCTGTGCCTGTAGTGCCTCACAGTTGGTCCTGAATGTGCATTTAGTGCTCAGCGGAAACTCAAGAGTCCCTTCTGCCCATCACCCCAGCTCTTCCTGCGTAACCTAGACCTTCTCCAGGTATCATCTGTTACATGGCTTCAGTGACACCACTGTGCTTTGCTTGGATCTTCTGGGAAGAAATATTATTTCTATTCTTTTTTGGCTCACAATCCCAAGTTCCTTATTGTGCAATGTCTGAAAACATTGTTCATTTTTGTTTTTTTCTTTTAATTGTTACTTTATATGTATGAGTGCTTCTGTTTTGTGCCTGGAGAGGCCAGAAGAGGTTATTGGATCTCTTGGAACTGGATTTACAAACAACTGTGAGGCACCATGTGGGTTTTGGGAATTGAACCCAGGTAGTCTGGAAGAGCAAACAGTACTCTAAACCACTGAGCCATCTCTCCAAGACCGGTTTTGTTTTTTTGAGACAGTGTCTCCTTCTGTAGCCCAGACTGGCCTGGAACTCATGATGTAGCTCAGGCTGGCTTCCTGTTTTAGCCAAGTGTTGGGGTAACAGGTATGTACCACCATGCCTGACATTTAATTAATTGTCATTACATTATTGTGGTGGTTTGAAAAAAATGGCCCCTAAAGGGAGTCTGACACTATTAGGAAGTGTGGCTTTGTTGGAATAGGTATGGCCTTGTTGGAAAAAGTGTGTCACTGAGCTTTGATGTCTACTATGCTCAAGCTATTCCCAGTGTCACAGTCTACTTCCTGTTGCCTTCTGATCAAGATGTAGCCAGCATGTCTGCCTGCACCCTGCCAAGTTCCCCACCATGATGATAAAGGACTGACCTCTGAGCTGTGTGCCACCCCCTCAATTAGATGTTTTCTTTATAAGTGTTGCCATGGTCATGGTGTCTCTTCACTGCAATAGAAACCCTATTGTGTGTGTGTGTGTGATTTGTGTCTGAATATGGGCTCACATGTGTCATTCATGCACTTGTAGAGAACAGAGCTTTCTGGGAACTGGTTTTCTCCTTCCACTGTGGGATCTGGGGATCATACTGAAATCATCAGCCTTGTGTGGCAAGTGCCTTTGTCTGCTGAGCCATCTCTTTGCACCTCTCCCTTAGCCCCCCTAGACAGAGTCTCACTGTGCAGCATTTGGCAGCCTAGAATTCACTGTATAGAGCACACTGGCCCTGAATCCAGACAGATCAGCTGTCTCTGCCTTTGAGTGCTGGGACCAAAGGTGTGTGCTACCAAGACTGACCAGATTTGTTTGTTTGTTTGTTTTTGTTTTTTTTAAAGGCAAATGTTGCCATGTAACCCTCACGTTATTTCTTTATTTATTTTGGACACAGGGTCTCATTTCAGGCTTAGTAGCCAAGGATGACCTCCTGTGTCTACCCCAGGTGTTGGAATTACAAGTGTACTGGGTTCGTACTGGTCATGTGGACTAAATCTGGGCTCGTGCATGCTAGACAAGCACTCTACAGGCTGAACTACCTAGTATCTGGTTAACTTTTACTCTTCAGATTGCAGAGGCTGCTTCTTCCAGGAATCTGTCTTACCCCTGGCTTGGTGATCTTTCCTTCTCACGTACTCCATGGTCTTTCATCAAGGCATCTGTCTGTCACCATCTGTTGTAATTGCTCTTTCACTTGTCTGTTGGCTTTTCAAGGGCAGGATCATGCTGCCTGTCTTGCTGTTAGGGTCCTAAGACTTGCTGTCATCTTTGACACACAGCATGCCTTTAATAAGCAGGCTGAGTGCTGAATAAGATGAGTTATAGATTGGAAAGGTGAAGGGGTCCTAGAGCCTGGGGGAAAGGAGAGAACTCAAGCAATATTGTTTTTAAAAAAGTGCAGAAGTCGGGGGCTAGAGAGATGGCTCAGCGGTTAAGAGCACTGACTGTTCTTCCAGAGATCCTGAGTTCAATTCCCAGCAACCACATGGTGGCTCACAACCACCTTGAATAAGATCTGGTACCCTCTGCTGGCCTGCAGGCAGAAGGCTATATACACAATAAATAGATTAAAAAAAAAAGTGCAGAAGTCCCCAGGTGTTAACAGTATTACCTGTTAGTGAGAGGCGTGGGGAGGCAGATGAGTGTTCTTTTCCTTTATGTTACATCATGTGTGATCCATTTTACTTTTAATTTACAAAGTCAACTTTTTTTTTGGTGTTTTGAGACAGGGTTTCTCTGTATTGTTTTAGAGACTCTCCTGGAACTTGCTCTGTAGACCAGGCTGACCTCGAACTCACAGAGATCCTCCTGCCTCTGTCTCCCTAGTGCTGAGATTAAAGGCGTGTGCCACCAATGCCCTGCTTACAAAGCCTACTTTGTTGAATATAAACTGACAGAGTAAAATGTGCTCTTTTGCAGTGTGCATAAAAATACAGAGGGGTCAGATGGTGGTGGCTCACACCTTTAATACCAGCTCTTGACAAGCAGAGGCAGGTGGACCCACCACCACCACCAGGCTTTTTCTTTTGTTTTGAGACATGGTCTTGCTCCATACCCTGGTGGGTCTTATACTCTACATATAACCCAGGCTGACCTTGTACTCACAGCAGCCCCATCTCAGCTTTGTAAGTGCTAAGATTACACTGGTGTGCCATTTGGTCTGACCTCTTATCTGTTTATGCTATGACTCATTAACTGCCAATAATACGGAGGCTGTGTGAAGACAAGATCTTTGTTCACTGAGGTTCCCAAGTTCATAGTGCCAAGTTCACAGCAGCTGCTAGCCACATGCCTGAAGAAAGGTAGATTCCAAATAGTCAAATGGAAAAATAGAAACTTTGAAACCACTAAAGAAAAGTACAGATGGGGCTGGCGAAGGGTTTAGTGATAAAGGTGCTTGCTGCGCAAGACTGGGTACCAGAGCTTGATCCCTAGAATCCACGACAGAGGGAGAGAACCAAGTCTGCTAGCTGTCCACCGACCCCACAGCATGTGTTCCTGTGCGTACACACACACACACACACACACTCACACACATGCACGCACGCACACACACGCACACACACACTCACACACACTCACACACACACGCACACACACACACACACACGCACACACACTCACACACACATACACACACACACGCACGCACACACACACACACACTTTTTAAAGATGATTATAAAATACCCAGCTGGGTATTGTGGTATACACCTATAATTCCAGTACTCAGGAGGCTGAGGAGAAGGACAGAAAATTAGGGGTCATCTTGGGCTATCTAGGACTCCTTTTGTTGTTTTTTGAGACAAGTTCTTACTATACAACTGTAGTTGGTCTAAAACTAGCTGTGTGGCCCAGGCTGGCCTTGAACTCTCAGGGATCTGCTTGTCTCTGCCTTCTGAGCACTGGGATTAAAGGCCTGAGCCACCACACTGAGCTTTTTTCCTCCCCAAAAGAGAGGGTCTTTCATTGGCTTGAAACTGACATGTAGGCTAGACTGGCCAGCAGCAAGCCTCACAAATCTACCTGTCTTGCCTTCCCAGTGCTGGGATTACAAGCACTCACTGCCATTCTCCAGGCCTGTTTTAACATTTATTTATTTGCGTGCATCCACACATCTGAGGTGCACATATAGAGATCATAGGACAATCCTTGGGAGTTGGTTCCCTGCTTCCATTGTGCAAGTCCTGAAAATCGAGTCTGAATCATTTGGAAGAGCAGCCAGTTCTTTTAACTCTCCCCCTGCCCTTTAGATGGGGTCTTATGTAACCTGGGCTAGCACTGAAGTGGCCATATAGCCAGGGGTTTTCTTGAACTCTTGATCCTCTGCCTCTACCTCCAAGATGCTGGGATTACAGGCATGCACAACCATGCCCAGCTCCCATCTTATTTTGGGGGAGTTTTTTGTTTTGTTTTGGTTTTGGTTTTTAGAGACAGGGTTTCTCTATGTAGTTCTGGCTGTTTTGGAACTCCCTCTGTAGACCAGGCTGACATCAAACTCACAGAGTCACCTGACTCTGCCTCCCAGGTGCCACTACCACTTGGCACTTTTTTTTCTTTTTTTGAGACTGGCCTCTCTACATAGCTCTGGCTGTCTAGAACTCATTGTGTAGACCAGGCCAGCAGGACTCGAACTCATGGAGATTCACTTGCCTTTGCCTCCCTAGTGCTAGAATTAAAGGTGTTCACCACCACACACAGCAAGTATCTTATTTTATGTGTACAGGTGTTTCACCTGCATGTGTATCTGTTCTCCAAATGCATGCCCTAGAACTGGAGTTGTGGACAGCTGTGAGCCTCTGTGTGGATCCTGGGAATCTAATCCAGGTTCCCTGGAAGAACAGCTAGGGCTCTTATCTGCTGAGCCATCTCCCCAGAGCCATTCCCCCTCCTTTCTGAGACAAGGTCTCACTCTGAAGTCTAGGTTGCTCTGGAACTCATGATCCGGGCTTCCCTCCGCCTAAGCACTGGTGAAGATGCTCTTCCTGAGTAACTTCACACTTCTGTGTAGAACATAGTAGCTGTTTAGTAAATGCTTGTTGGATAGAAAAATTGATGGGCAGAGGAGGGGATCCATGCGGAAGTGAGCAGATGCGGATGGGTCCTTGACAGGAACTGCCATTCTAGCACCGGGTGGTCAGGTCTCTGTCACTCTCAACTAGGGTCAAGAAGCTCCTGAGCCCGAGATTGATCTGGAAGCTCTCATGGAACTATCCACAGAGGAGCAGAGGACTCAATTGGAGGTAGGACGGGAATCTGGGGACTGGAAGTTGGGCTGGGAACCTAGGGACATGAAGAACACCAGCTCACAGCACCACACTAACCACCCGAGCTAACAGCCAGCTGCAAAGAACCAAGTTACAGGGGCGGGATCTTGGGAGACTGATGGGCGCTTGTGGGGAAGTTGCATGTCTCTTTACCTGGCTCTTTTTCACCCAGGCCATTCTCCAAGACTGCCCCTGCGACAGAGAGGTAAGACATATTCTGCTTCTGCAGTACGAGGAGGCCTGCTGGGGGAGGCTAGGATGAATAGAGCAGCATTTGAGAGGAAAGCTTGGCCTTAGATAATTCTTTCCTTTTCTTGCTCTGGGGACATTCGAAGACAGATTAGGGAGAGCAGCATAGTGACTGTGATTTCCTGTTTGATCTCACTGCTCTTTCTCCCTCAGCCGTTCATCTCTGAGCTGCTCAGTCAACTCAAGAAGCTTCGGAGACTCAGCAGGCCTTCAAAATAACACTGGAGAGACCATCTTCTGTAGCCTTAGCCCTGTCCTGGATACTGGCTGAAAGGTCTCCAATATAGACAAGGGATGCCGAAGAGACACTTGTACAGCCCAAGTGTGTTGCAGCTACAGCTGGGCTCTCTCTGCTGGGCTCTCTGCAAGTCAGTTGTGGCTGTTACTTCCCTTGGCAGCCAGGATAAAAACTTTAGGAGGAAACCAATAAGTGTGTGGAGTGTGGTGTCTGTCTATGCTGGGGGATGGGAGAGGGAAGCGGTATTTGGAAGACCAACATCGTAAGTCCCTGGGCTGTGCCCACATCATCCATCCATCCATCCACCACCCTCATCCCCACGCCTAGGCCAACTGGTGTTGGGAATTCAGAGATCACAGCCTGGCTTTGAAGAGGCTGGAATAGTGAGGCCCAGAGGCATGAGGCTAAAGCACACAGCACCGGGCAATCACCAACAAGAGGGGCCCGACTGGTAAAGGTGATCTTTGAATTTCACCCAGGAGGCAACAGGAAACACCTCACTGGATCTGCAGTGTTCAAGGAGGCCAACCCCTCCTCCACTCGGTGTAGCAGGGTCTGCATGGTGCTCTAATCTTGGATTGGTTGCCCAGTCTCTGCCCTTAGTGAATTGTGGAAAATGAAAAAGCAGAGGATATGTAGAGTGAAAAGGAGTGCCAGGGGTTGGGCCAAGTTGTTGGAAGACAGATATTAGGTCTTTGAAGTAGGCAAGATGGGACAGGAATCAGGAGGTAGGTCCTCTGTGAGGCAGGAAGCAGGGCATGTATGGAGTGTTCCTACATTCATTGTTTGAGTACTAGATAGGCAGATATCCAACATGGAAGGGTCTTATGACTAAGCTGAACTGTCCTGAGCAGAAGGTACAATTCACTAAGACAAATATTCATACTTAGTTGGTATGAGGCCAGCAGGATGGTGGGACTGTCCTTACTGGGAGCTTACAGCACAGCGCAACCTTTGCATGAATCACACAGCAGTCTGCTTCTAGCCTACTGTGGTTTAGAGGCCGCAGGGTTCTAGATAAAGATGGTGTTGGGTGCCTGGAGTATAGGTCAGTGGTAAAACACACACAGAGTATATATGAGATGTAGGTTCATTCCCAGTACTGCCAGAAACAAGTTCACAAATGAAAAGGGTCTGGAGCTAGGGATATAGCTCAGTGGCAGGATCCTTGTCCAGCATGTACAAGGGCCTGGGTTCAATCCCCCAGAACAGACAAAAAATTCTGGGGCCAATGACTCAACAATGCATTTTATTTATTTATTTTACATTTTAAATTAGAATAACTTATCAACAACATCTTTTATTAGTTCCACTATAGGCCAGGGCTGGGCCCTGGAACTGGGTTTCAGGGCTCATCCTTAGGTTCAGTCTGGTCTTCCCTATCTGCCTCTCAGTTTCATGCCAGCCTCCAGGAGGGGGCCCTTACTCCTCCTTCCCTCTGGCTCCTCTAGGAGTCATGACCTTCAATGGACTCTTTCTTCCTTACAGGGACTGCAAAGCTCAAAAAAGGGTGTGTTTACCATCAGTAGAGCTGGATCTGCTACCCACTGGATGCCCTGACACTGGGCCTGGGTAGCTGTCCCAGCCTGCTGGCTGCTGCCTGTGGCACTGCCATCTCAGGAAGGCGTCAGGGTTTTCCTCAGTGTTCTTGGCCAGGAGGTCGGGGGTGGTAGGCGGAAGTCTGATGCTCTTTAAGATCAAAGTTATCGTGGCCCTCCCTGGGGAGCAAAGGGGTGAATGGCAGAGATCTTGGCGGCTCTCAGGCCAAGATCAATCTAGCCTCAGAATGTTCTACCTGCACCCACCGGAAGCACCGGGCACAGTAGAGGTCTCCATCGCAGCCGGCACAGCGCAGGACAGCATCCTCATTGCAGATGCAGCACCAGGGGAGCTCTTCTCCCTCAGCCTGGGGCCCAGGAAGAGAGGAATGGGGAGACAACTACAGATGGGCAGACAGCCAGGTGCAAGCGTGGGGATGCCTGTGCGGGCTTTTCTCACCTCAGTCTCTGCCCTGCAGGTCTGGGCCCGGGGTCGGGGAGCTGGTTCCACAGGGATGTTAAAACCACTTGCCTCATCCAGGGCAGCTTCTTCGGTGAGCTGTGAACAGGGAAGAAGAGAACTGCTTCCTGCTCTAGGTCAGGCTGCACTCCTGGCATTTCTGGGTTTTGTGGCCTAACTTCTCAGCTCTTCACCCTTTACCTCCTGCTGTTTCTTCCTGGTTTCCTGAGATAGGACTATGGACCTCAAGTAAAATTGGAGCTGTGGAATGACCACTCATGGGGCCCTAAAGGCCAGTGAATGAGAATGCAACAATGAGGCAGAGGGCAGAGGGCAGGGGGCAGGGGGCAGGGGGCAGGGGGCAGGGGGCAGAGGCAGAGCAAGGGGTGGCGGGTGGGTCACAAAGCTACCTGCTGCAGCACTCTCTGAATGGCTGTCTCTTCATCCTCCTCCTCATCACTGTCTGGTAGGTGATAGTCCTGGAGGGTCACTTGAATGGGGGACAGGAACAAAGGAAGGAGTGAGGTGAGCTATTTCTCCAGATGGCTGCCCTCTTGTCTTCTGAACTGCTGGCCCCTATTCAGAGCTGAGAACCAAGCTCTGTGACTCCCGCCCTACTCTTGCAAGGCTGGGCCATCAGCCCTGAGAGAGGAGGGCAGTCTGAAGGTCCCGCTGCCTCAGAGCCTCATTCTTTACTCTGCCCCATCATAGCTCACGACTCTGGATGGGGCAGATCCTTTGGCACAGGGACCCTTAGTACCCATTTTAGCACTGGCAGGGAAAGTAGTCTGAGGTGGCAGTAGGCCTTGGACAGAGGCCTGAATAAGGAGGCTGGCTCAAGCCTTTACCTCTGTTGGGGTCCTGTCCCTGAAGGACAGCCAATCTTTTGGCAAGAGCCAGGATCCGTTCCTGCCTGGTGTTCTCTTCCCGTAGCTCAACTGCTGCCTGGGCCAGCAGCCTGCTCTTCTCCTCCTTCAGGGATGGGCTGGCCTGCCCCTGGGAATTCGTGTGCTGGTTCCTTGTACCTCCCTTGTTGAGGTCATTCTGGAGGGGGGCCACTGGAAGGGGTAATACAGTTAGGGAGGCAGAAGAGTTCCAAGATCTCACTCCAGAAGCCACTGAACCCATTTCTCAGCTGTTTTTTAACCATATGCTACCAATTTTTTGATCAGTACTAGTCTTATATTTCTTACATTTTCCCATAGATAAAATAATTTGGGGCTTTTTATTGCTTTGATTTTTTAAATTATTATTAAAGATGGGGGTTTGCTATAAAGTCCAGGCTGGCCTGGACCTTTCGACCTTCCTGCCTCTGCCTCACAATCCCTAGGATTACCGGTGTGTACCATCATGCCTGGCAACACTAGTAATTTTAGTTGTGTGGAGGGGGTTTAGCTAGCCCGTCTTTCAGGGCTGGAACTAGTATTTTCTGGGAGCAGAGTGAGAGATCCTGAAGGAAGCAGCAAGATAATGGGCAAGAAGAAATTTTATCAGCATAGATTTGGCTCTGACGTGGTCACCTTGACTCTAGAGTTTCAGAACTGGAGCTTTAAGACTAAGTCGGCCATGACAGTGCACTCTTGTAATGACTGCAGTTGGGAGGCGGAAATAGGAAGATCAGGAGTTCATGGTCATGGCAAGTTTGAGGCTAGCTACATGGAGGCTACATGAGGCCCTGTCTCACAAAATAAAACAAAAACAGTGTTACGTAGAAGGCCAGTTAAGGGCTGAGTTCCTGTGGCAAGTCCCTGAGCTTACCGAGTCGGTTTCCTCCCTTATACATAAGGGTAACAGTCCTCGTCGGATCAGTGAGGGAACCCACTGAGACTGTGCCTATACAGCAGTTTATCAACCTCAGTTCTTTTGATAACTCTCCTTTAGGGGGTGGGGAGCTGGCAACTGCACACTGGGTGCCCAGAAGCATTCCTGTCTTTCACCTACAGATGCCAGTCGTACCGTGAACTGTGATAACGAAAATGTCCTTCAATATTTCCAAAAGTGCCCTAAAGGTACTGCCCTGGAGCCTTCATATACCACAGGAACCTCCTGTGATGTTGGGAACATGCCACAGCATGTCCTAGATTCATGCTGCCCGTATGTTTGCTGCAAGCTCACGTGGGGACCCAATAGTTGAGATGTGACTGGCAGGAGAAGGCAACTGAGCCTTAACTCTTCTAATTTAAGCCTCTTACCCATGATCAGTGTCTTCACCGCAGACAATACTCGCTAAGTCCTTACTATGTTGGGCAGTCCCAAGCCCTTACTGCGCTGTTCCATTTATCCCTCATGACTTCTCCCACAAGACAGGTTTTATCACACATTGCCTGAGCTTACAGATTAGAGATTTAGACAGCTGAAGGAACACATGGAGGGTGGTGGGACTGGAATTCCCCATCTGATTCTAGAGCCAGTGCAAGAGGCCTGCACTGGCTCCCTTTGGAGTAAGCACTCAGTACACAGAAGCTCTTCAGTGTTGGCCATTCTCTGGCTCACATTCGCCTCCCAAGAGGGTGAGCAGAAGAGGCAGGGCGTGACCATGGAGAAGCCAAGTGGACAGGTTACCTGGGGCTCCTCGTTCCCAGCCGTCATCAATAGCCATCTCAGCTGCCAGCTGTGTTAGCAGATCCTGCGTCTGCTGAGCTTGGGTCCTGGCATCTGGTGCCTGGTGTGCCTGTGCAGAGGAGGGAACCTCAGTGGGGAACAGCGGTATGGGGAAGGCCACACCAGAAGTCCAGAAGAGGTCTGAGTCGGGGTGGATGCTGAAGAGTTTTCAAAGCCCAAGGAAAGGGATGAATTCAAGGTCCACACAGGTGAGTAGACTCTTTGCTGACGCACTCAGTCCTGCTGTTTGGCATTTGTCTTTGGCTTGAGAGCAGGCCTAAGGCTCGGGAGGTAGGGGTGGGAGGCTTTACTAACTCCTGCAAAGCATATGATCATACATGTATCTGGGCTTCTGTAGGGTGCTTGCCCTAGGAAACCCTTCTCTCCCAAGCCACAACACTCACCGGTCTCACGGTGTGAGAAGGTGGTACCCTGCCCTGTAATGCTGCGAGCCGATTCTCTATCTCCTGTGTAGAAGGGATGGTGCCCTGGACTTCATCCTTGAGTGCAGCTAGCCGTGCCTCTATCTCTGCCTGTGAGGGTACTGACTCTGCAATTGGCAAGCAGAGTGTTAGTAAGGGCTGGAGGCAGCTCAGTCCCAAGCCCTGCACCCTGACTTTGAGGCCCACCTGCCCACTTAAACTCACTGGGCTTATTTTCCTGACGGAGCCGAGCTAGGCGATCAGCGATGGCTTGGTCTTGCTGGGTCAAGCCCTGGTTCTGGGAAGCACTGGGCTTTTTCTTGGCTTCCAAGGCTGCCACATGCCTAGCAGGGTATGAGGCAGACACTCTTAAGGCAAAGGGGAAGACTGAAGCACCCATCCAAATCAAATGGGCCTCTACAGCCGTCTTCTGTGGCCTCTAATTATGTAGTACTGCAGCCCAACCCCGCTGACCAGCTGTAGGGTACGCCTGACAGAAACAGCTCCCAAATGCCGTTTCTTAGAACAGATTAATGAGCTGCTTTCAGAATCCAAGAGGGAAGCAGGGGCTGAAGGTGGGCATTGTTTTTACCCTGACCCTGTCTGGTCCTGCTGCTGGTGTCCTTACCCTTTGCCATCCCCACCCGTCTTCTCTTCAGTACTTACTTCTTGAAGTTCTGAGGCGGTGACCACTTGGAGGTGTTGTCGGAAGGCCCTCTAGAGAAGGAGCCTGGTGTGAGAAGTCCCATCATCTGACCCATCAGTGATTTCAACCCTAAAGGCTTCCTAGGCAGACCTCTGGCCAGGGAGCACACGGTCACAAGGCCTGGTCACATGCTCACTGTCATGTCTGTCTGGACCCTTGCCCATGCCCATCACTCACCTGGTCAGGACTGTGTGGCACTGCTTGCAGACTTTCTGCTGAGTGTTGCCAGCCCGAGGTACCAGAGCGCTGAAGCTAAGACAGCCATTACAGAAGGCCCGGCCACAGTTCTTACAGCCGTACTATAAGAAACATGGAGCATGAGGATCTGTCTCTCACCCACCCCTGTTGGCCTGTCTCTGGGGTGATGAAGAAAAACAAGCAAAGCCCTGTGAGTCAGGTCACTGGTTAGTCAACCGGAGGGAATCAGACAGTGTAGATACCATGCTTTCTCTGCTCGGGCAAGACGGTGGAAGGTTCGGCTCAGGATAGGGTGGTACCAATAGCTTCAGTTATTAAGTACTTAGTGTGTACCAGGCACACAGCCTGAATCTTAAAATTCATCATCTGATCTGTCATAATTTATACACAGTATCATATTTGATCCTGATGCCCACCGTCAGTATCTCTATTCTAACAGGGGGCAGAGAATTACACGACTTGTTCAACTTAGGTCTTAATGTGCTTAAGGCAGGACAGCTGACTTTGAACCCCACTCCTGAAGTGCTCCAGTCCTGTATACCGTGAACTCATCCCATTTATCCCCACTGTCTGCCCAGACGCTTGCAAGGAGAATCGGGTGAGCCTGTGCTGTGAACAAGAAAGCCTTTCCATGGTGCCCCAGGCAGAGAGGAGCTTTGTAATCCACCTGAGGGTAAGAGGAGGCTGTGATGCTCGGCGGTCACAGGCTATTAAAGGCAGACGCAGAAGAGGGGAGCAGAGAGAAGCAGAGGTAGGTGCCCCACTGATGTAAAGAAGAAGAAGAAATCCGTAGCTTGTGGAAACTGGCAGCAATAAGCTTTATAATTTATGGGGTACTTTCAGCTCCACACCTCACCAAACCCCCTTACAATTTTAATTTTACATTATTCCTTTGTGAGTGTGTGTGTAGACAAGTGCATGCTATGGCACATGTGTGGAGATCAGAGGGAGTTCTCTTGAGGGAGTTCTCTCGTTCCTGGGGCTTGAACTGAGGTCATCAGGCTTAGCAGCAAGTGCATTTACCCGCAAAGTCATCTCACTGGACCTCATCATTCCATCGTCTTAACCCCGAAAGCGAATGGGCATTTGCACCACTTTACAGAAATGTTAACTGAGTTACTTCGTCAAAACCGCATCCCTAGAAAGAAGCCGTCAAACTGGGTCTTTGGCCTGCAAGTCCCTTCGCCCCGCGTCCTCCCTTGGCCCTCCCGCTCCTTAGGACACTCGCCTCCTTCTTGAAGAGGGTGAACTTGACAGCACAGCCGTAGCACCTGCTCTCCATGGCGTCCCTCAGTGCCGCAGATCCGTAGGATAGCCTCTCACCCACGCAGTGAAGGCCTCTTAGACCCTCAACCTAAGCTGCCCAGCACTACACGCCCACCTGAGCCATTCAGCGGCGGCCCAGCGCGGGGAATTCTGACTCTCTCTGCTCGCCACCGCGCAGGCGGCGGCGGAGTGTGGGATTCTGGGAGTTGTAGTTCTTTTTCTGCGACGCGCTCATCCACAGTCAGTCAAACCTGAACCGGATCACGCCGATTCCCAGGGGCCTTAGCGCCGTTGGGCCGGCTCCAAGCCAGTACCTCCTCCCCGCACGCGCTCAGACTCCTGGGAATTGTAGTACCAATTCGGCCAGGGCTGGAACCATGGCGGTGACTAAAGAGCTCTTACAGATGGATCTATACGCGCTGCTTGGCATTGAGGAGAAGGCGGCAGACAAAGAGGTGAGAACCTGAGAGGCACGGCGGCTCTTCGGTCCTCGCGCCTGGCCCGCGCCTAGTCCCGGCTCTCAAGGCTCCGCCCTATACCGGACGGGAGCGAGTACCGGCCTAAAGCCTAAAAAGGGGGGCCTCGGGGCTTTTCCTGAAAGGCTTGAGGACCTCGTTAGGGAGGGAGGCACTGAGGACTCGGAACTGTGTGACTGAGCTGTCCTAGGCCACGGTGTGTGGACGCCGGTTCGAATCTGAGAGCCGGGCCTGCTTTGTTGCGCCTGCGCAGCAGCAGTCTTACCTATGTGTGGAGGTGTTTCGTTTCAGTTTCTAAACTAGTTGTTTTAACTTCAGGTTGATCCTGGGAGGGAAGAAAAGTTAGCTCTCTAGGCTCTTCACTCCCTCCTCAGCATCTCCTCCTTGGATTTGGCGTTGAGATCTAGTACCCAGAGAGCTCGGTTTTCTCTTTCCGCCTTTTAAGTATCAGGCTCCGGTACTGCTCCTCATCGTGTGCTACTTAGTGGGTTAAACAAGAGAGTGAGAAGGTCGAAGCAGGTGGTGTGGCGTGCCACATATTTTAAGTGCCGGTGCCCGGGATGAGACAGATCAAGATGTACTTAAGGTTTCTGTTACTTACCCCTGGATCGTGGTGGTAATTCTAACAGTATAGGCAGGGAGTTCATCAGATAAAAAGTAATGCCCACCGGGTTGGGCATGGCGATGCAAACCTGTAAAGCACTGGGGAGTTGGAGAGAAGAGAATCAGGAGTTTACAGTTAACTTCAGCTTGTAAAGTTCAAGTCCAGCTGGATTTACCTGAGGTCTGTAAAAAAAAAAAAAAAAAAAAAAAGAGGGAAGAGAGAAGGAAGGCGGATCAGGAGTTCAAGAGCTCAAGGTCATCTTTGACTATGTTTAAGGAGTTCAAGCCAACCTGAATTCCAGAGACCCTGTTTAAAAAACAAAACAAATAGTAGAGAGAGGTTACTTAGTGACAGAATTATGTGAGGACTAAAAGCCAGGTCACCTGAGGAACACCAGCACTGCATTTAACTTTCACTTAGTTCTTTCTCTGAATTTCAAAAACATAAATCCACTTGGATGTTTCACACGTAAGCATTTGGACAGATCCGATGGGATGGACAGGGATGGATTAAGCACTCGGGAGCCAAAGTATACTGAGTGTTACAGCTCAGATGGAAAGGTATTCTGGCACTCGGGAATCACAGAAAACTGAGTGTTACAGCTCAGATGGAAAGGTATTCTGGCACTCGGGAGCCAAGGAATACCACATGTCACAGTAGGCATAGCAGCTTACAGCCCTGTTTCAGGGAAAGGCTTCCCTAGTGTATCAGCTCTGCCCCAGGGGGAGAGGGTTTCCTAGCTGGCGATGTTTCTCCAGTGTAGCAGTTTTGCTCCTGCAGAAGAGGGAAGGAGGGAGAGGGTTTCCCTGGTGAAGTTGCTACAGTTCAGCTTTGCTCCAGGGAGAGTGGATAGCAGAGTAACAACTCCACTTTGCCAGGGGAAGGTTGCCCCGGCAAAAGTGTTTCACCCTGCTTGCTCAGCTCTGCCCAGGATCGTCTCTGCTCCTCTGCAAAGGAAGGTCTTCACCCAAAGCTCATCCAAGGGGCTTATTGGGGGGGGGAAGCCTCCAGGAGAGTGGCAGAGGATAGCCAGGCAGCATGAACAGCCACAAGCTGAACAGATACAGGGGGCGGAGTTTTCCAGGTTGGGGATTGGTCAGCTTTCCATCTCTTGCTCAGGGATTAGCTAGTTTTCTGCATAGGGTTAGGGTCAGATTTGGCTCTGGTTTCAGGGCCAAAGTGTGTTTCTTTCTCTGGTCCTTTTTAGTCTTTTTGTCTAGTTTTAGGTGTATTTCTTTCACTGGCTCTGATTCCAGGGACAAAGTGTGTTTCTTTGGCACTGGTTTCAGGGTCAGGGTGCATTTCTTTGGTTCTGGTTGCAGTGCCAAAGTGTTTTTTTGGCTCTGCTCAAGGTGTGTTTCTTTGGCTGACCCCTTTTCCCTACATCACAGGAATCTTCAATCTTCCAATGTCCAAAACTGAACTTTTCCTGCCCAAACCTGTACCCTCCTTGGAATTCACTATCTTTGTAAATGCCACCACCACGTATCTACTCAACTAGGATATTTTATTTATTTACTCATTTTACATTGCTGAGAATTAAACATAGATTCTTTTACCTGTTAGGTAATACTGTACCACTGAGCTGTGTTCCTAGCCCCAGCCACTCTGAGTCACTCCCTATTTATTTATCTATTTATTTATTTATTTAGAGACAGAGTTTCTCAGTGTTGCCCTGGCTGTTCTGAAACTCTCTCTGTAGATCAGACTGGTCTGGAACTCACAGAGATCCGCCTGCCTCTGCCTCCCGAGTGCTGGGATTAAAGGTGTGCGCCACAGCCGCCCAGCCTTTGATGCCTCCTTATCCTCTCACCGCTGTCCTCTTGTCCATTACTGGATCCTAATTATTTAGCCTTCTAAGGGTTCTCACACTTGCTCACCATCTCTGCCTTTTCCACCATCGCTCTAACCCACTTCCCTGCTGCCCGTCTATTCTTCTGTAATCTGTCATGCCTCTCGATCCATTCTCCTCACAGAAAATTAAATGATCCTAATACTTCCTAAAACCCTATAGTTATATGCCTGTAATCCCAGGGTGAGAGGATTTGCAATTCAAGGCTGGACTGGTCTACATAAGGAGACTTTGTCTCAGTAACAATAATAAAACAGAACCACACAACTGTCAATACAATTCATCTCTCTCTCTGTCTCTCTCTCTGTCTCTCTCTGTCTCTCTCTCTCTCTCTCACACACACACACACACACACACACACACACACACACACACACGTCAGTAATGTTCTTCTGTAGACCACGCCAGCCTTGAAGTCCTAGAGATTCACCTGCCTCTGCCTTCTGAATACTGGATTAAAGATGTGTCACCCCATCAGATTGTTAGTCCATCTTGCTTTTACTTATCCTTTAGAACTCAGTTTAAGGTTGAGAGAGTCTTTGCCTAGCATGCTTGAAGCCCCAAGTTTCCTCCTTAGCAACACATAAACTAGGTACTGTGGTATATGCCTGTAATCTCCACATTTGGGAGGTGGAGGCAGGAAGATCGGAAATTCAGTGTCAGTGTCATCCTTAGCTATATAGCTAGTTTGAGACTAGTCTGGGTCTATTTTATGTTAGTCTTCCAGGTAACATTGCTGAGGGGAGTGAGAGCAGGAACTTAAGCAGAGATCATAGGAACATCACTTGTTGGCTTACCCCTTCTGGCTTGCTCGGTTTGCTTTATTATACAACCCAGGATCACCTGCCTAGGCCTGGCACCTCCCACAGTGGGCTGAGCCCTTCCACCTCAACCATCAGTGAAGAAAATGACCAACAGGCTTGCCTACAGGTCAATATAATGGGGGCATTTTCTCAATTGAGGTTTTCTCTTCTCAGTTGTCTCTAGTTTTTTTTTCAGGTTGGCCAAAAAACCCAAAACAAAACCCTAAAACCAACCAAACAACAACAACAAAAACTAACCAACACAGAGACCCCATCTAAAAACAAATAAAAACAACAAGGGGGCGGAGAGATGGCTCTGGTTAAGAACGCATACACTGCTCTCCCAGAGGATTTAAGTTTGGGGCATCTTAGCTGATAGTCTCTGCAGACATCTGCATTCTTTTGCATACATAAGCCCAAGTACACAGACATAAATTTAAAAAAAGAACCCAACTCAGTTTAATTGGCTCCCTCAGAAAGGTTTTGCCTGTTATTCCTCGACCCCATGCTGGATGTGAACCCAGGACCTTGCTAGGCATGTGTTGTATTGAGCTACACCCCAGGCTTTGCTTGTTGCTTTCTTTCATAGCAGCTGGCTCCCCTCCTTTTCAGCACTTTATATTGGCTTGCAATTAGTATTTAGTTGTGTCATTATTGACAAGCCTTAATCATTTCTATGCTTCTGCCTCTGAGAAGCAGATCTGGTTGATCAACTCTCTTCAGTAGTCTGGTGATCGGCACTTAGTAGGCTCTTAATAAATGTTTGCTGAAGGCATAAAGAAAGCACTATAGAGACCACCATAATGACTTGAGAGTCACAAGACTGGAACAGTCAGTGTTGCTCCCTGGAACTGGTTTTTCCCAAATGTAAAACGAAGCATTAGGGCCAGTGACCTGGTCAGAGGAAAAGAATACTTGCTGCCAAACCTGATGATTTGAGGTCAATCCCCAGAACCCCATGTTGGAAGGTGAGAGCTGACTCCTGAAAGTTGTCTTCTGACCTGCACATATGTGCACATACACACATACATAAGTAAATGTAATTTTTTTTTTTTTTTGGTTTTTCGAGACAGGGTTTCTCTGTGGTTTTGGAGGCTGTCCTGGAACTAGCTCTTGTAGACCAGGCTGGCCTCGAACTCACAGAGATCCGCCTGCCTCTGCCTCCCGTGTGCTGGGACTAAAGGCGTGCGCCACCAACGCCCGGCAGTAAATGTAATTTTTTTAAGCAAAGGATTAGGAAGGCTGGAGACATGGCAGAGGACCTGGGTTTGATTCCCAGCAGCCACGTGTGAGCTCACAACCATCTGTAACTCCAGTTCCAGAGGACCTGACTTCCCTTTCTGCCCTCTGCAGACAGTGCATAGATAGATGTACGTGCAGATATACACGCAGGGAAAGCGTTAACATATAAAATAAAATGAGTAAAAATGAAGGACTAGGGCAAATTATGGTTTTAGAGTTCAAATAGTCCATTACTATTTTTAAAAAGATTTATTGGTTTTTCAGA